AGTTGAAATACACAGTTTGTTAGCAAAATTATAATTTATTGTCTCATTTTCTTTGAAGAATTATTATGTAACAATAGACTACATTTATATATATATATATATATATATATATATATATATATATATATATATATATTACGGTATATAGATACTTTCAGTATGATTTTATATACAGGGTGGAGCAATATTAGCCATTACCACCTGAAACATCGCTCCTAATTGAGGTGTTCTAATTAGGAATGCCCACTGGCATTATATTCACACCCGAACGCCGCGATTGCGGTAAAGAAGGCATTTCAGACCGGAATATTTGTTATTGCACCCTGTACATATAATGCAATATACATACATATTACAGTATTTTATAACTAATGCTTGCATGAACATCCAAAAAAGCGTTCATTCGATGTCAGAGTGTTATTACGGTTAAAGTGTGTTACAATATATAATGTACAAGTATATGCATCGGTTTTTCTTCTGTACATGATCATTTACAGTGTGTTATATGATAGAATCGTAGCGAACGTAGAAAATTCCACGGCGGCTATGATTACATTTATCTCGGTATCTTATTTCTCAAATAATATTTAAAGGCAATCTGTAGAATCTCCGTTCGATGATATTTCTTCTTTAATTATGCGCAACGCTTTTAGCTGATTTAATCTGCTTATATATTGTAGAGAACATATTAACGAAATATTAAACATCGATCACGCACATATTGCAGTACGTATGAAGATTATATATGAAGATTATTGACAAATATAACAGTTTGTAAAAATTAAACGATACTTCTTTATGGAATAAATATTAATCACATGAGAAAGCATAGAGAAGACAGATTCACAAGAATGCATTGGCTACAGATTTCTTTTGTATATTCGTAATAATTATTTTACTGATATATCCTATTTTTTTCATATAAACTTATAAAATGGATACACACAGAAAATATATTTAATTGACGGTCAATTATGCGGTAAGCTATGCTGTGTGTGTGCGATATTAAAATATTCCATCTGTAAGTATCTAATATAATCTAATATAATCCAGCGATTCGGGAAGATTAAAATAAATTGCTTCAAAATATAATAAAATAGTTTGTTTTATCGTAAATATTGCACTTTAACTGATATTTGGGGTGATAATCTAATTTTTTTTTACGCAGATATACGATATACATCTTGGCGGCCGAATAATTGTTATTACTATCGAATTGTACGTTTTACTTTCATACGGTCTCGAATGTAGAGAATATTAGAGAACGCTAGTTACTGTTTACTTTATACGCGAATTTCACATAATCTATTTGATATAAATTTTATATATGTAGCAACACACAATTTCCTTATACCATCCTTATTCCTACCGCTATTCTCTCTCATACGCAACTTTCTTCGTTTATATATCACGCAGACTGATTAAAATCTTTTAATAAAAAAACATACGTTCGATGATGCCGCCAGTTACTCATTCACTATCAATTATTTATTTATCGATCCTTGATTATTCGCCGGTTATTTCCTCGCATTAAAAATCACATTTAAGCACCTACATATATACGATAAACGATAAGTATTCATCATGGTATGAGTGCAATCTGGATTCGGAAGAATCAACAGTTCATCAATCCTCTATTTGATTGTTGATGTATGCGTTTTGCTTCAAGGAATCTTGTTTTTCATGGATTAATAAAGCCAACGTCAATGGAGGGTAATATGTCCGTATCTTATGCATTCCGCATTATAAATATATAAATGTGCATGTGCATTTTTTTTCCAACGTGCAAAAATTCGACACCTAATATCGTTTGTAGAAAAGTCGTATTTATCGTTTCTCCAACGAAATGGCATTGGTTGTGACGAGATTTTATTGTCTTTTCGGTAATACGGGATCAAAGTCTTATTAAAGCTTTGATTACACTCATACGCCAGTGAATAACATGTATCTCCTACATATGACGCCAAATCTTGTCATATAAATATGAGTAAACCAGCACGTGGCAGTGAAAAATTATAACTATGTATTTTATCGTCAACACATCTTCCTCTCGTTATCAGTCACCGTATCAGCTGCTCGTAGTCGTCCAGCTGATTCGCAAAAATAAGACACCGCGAAGCTTGATTACAGAAAACAGAATGTGGAGAAACAGGAAAGACGGTGAGAATTGAGAAAGCTTAGCTTAATCGCTACATCCCTTCCGTATTTACATTCGCAACTGACAGTAAATGATGAATTCTAGATGAGAAGAATGCATAAATTTTCTGTCGCTTTTAAAATAAATGATTCGTTATTCGCGAATTAAATGTATCTACCTTTTTTTTGTACAAATAAAGCGGTATAAAACGTTATAGTTATTTCAATTATAAAATATCGATAGCAATATATTAGTGCAGGTAGACTCTGGTATATCTATGGATATAAAATTGTTTTGTTGCTCGTTTAGCAATAGTTACTTTCGTATCTTTCACACGTTACCTTAGTCGTTCGCAATAAACCGTTAAAGGAATACATGTTTTTTTAAAATACGTTTCACTTTTCGATTTTTGCACGTGTATGCAGGATGTCCCGTTAAATCAAATTACTGCAATCGAAAAGTTGCATCTTTATGTTAACACAATGTTCTGACAACGTTTGATTAGCTGTGACAACAGACTTGCTTTTGATCCTTTATATTTCTAGTGTCCTCAAAATATTAGATATGTATGAAAAATTTAACGTATATATTTGTATTTAAACGCAACATCAACATCAACGGTACCGCTCGTCAATGATACGAATTCGCGGTACATTCCTCAGATGCAAATGCAGGTTTTCTCTTCAGTATCTTCCGAAGTCACCACGTGTAGGAAGTCTATCAGTTCGATCACTGTAAATAAATAAAAATATATATAAAATTGATAGATATTTAGTAACAAATTTGTATAACATAAATAGTAATAATTGAACGTTGAGTATATTAAATTGATATTTGTGACGGAAGAAAATCTGGAAAACGATGGAAAAGTGACATACCGTAGTTTCGCCGTGTTACTTCCGGCGTCGGTGTGTTAAGCATTAAATAATTTACAAATTTATTAGCTGTACATATTGCAAACTCGCAGAAATACACCACGCCCTTTAAAGTACTGTACACTCGCATCTCGATTTGATAACGATTGAATAACGATTTGGTTCTAAAGGGAAATGTGTATTTCCGACAAGTGAGCTCGATAATTCTATTCATTTAGCTTAACAAGCCGTTGAGAACGTTAACTGCGTCTACGCATAACAGCGTGAAAAGTACACTTTGTTCCTTAATATCCCTAGTCAAAGCGATGAGATTTTGAAGTATAATCAATAATGAGTAACTCGTCATGTCGTACGCGGCAAGATTAGACGCGGGTTTCGGGTGAATGATGTTCACCGGCGGCGGTGGTACAAACGCATCGAATCCGTCCGCATCCGCATCCGTGAATACCAGCGAAGATGGTATCCATCTTACTCTGAGCAGCATGCGAAATAATATCCAACGAGATTAGTTTTCACTTTAGACATTACCGCGTATAATTATTTTAATGATCAACATCGTTTGAATAATTTCTACAATTAGATTATCGGCTCGAAGTAAGGCTCGAATTGTGAAGATTTAAGTATTTTCAAATTACTGTTTGTTAATATAATTTAAATCGCTAAATTTATTAATGAAAATCTAAAGACCGATGAGAAGAAATCGACTTCAGACGGCAGAAGCGGTTTAATGTAACAAGTATCGAGAAATTGCGGATTTGGAGAAAAGATC